GCTGACGTAAGAATTTGAAATAGCTACTGAGTGTTGCATTATTGCAGATAATTATCACATTCGTGTAGTCTCCACTTTAGAGGTTGTAAATGGGGCTCAAATCTTAATAATTCAGTGTAAAGTGTGTTACACTGTCATTCTTATCACAGAGATTTTTTTTAAAGAAATGCATATCTGAAGTATTTGTGATCTTAAGAGATGTTTAGGCTTGTGAATGAAGATTTCTCCTTGCATCGAGAAATAACATATGTGGTTGGCGCACTTCAAAATTTAAATGTGTTCAAATGTCTGTTCACTATCGTAATACTTCCGTGAATGTTGAATGGCTCATCTATCTGCAGGAATCCTTAGTTAGCTTTCCAAACAACAATTGGCATTTTGACCAATTTCATTAGATAATCTAAAGAACAAAAATATTTGTAAGGACCCTGATAGAGGATTCTTGAATTATACCTGGTATACATTTTTTGTTAGGATTTCGAGCTCTGCAAATTTGTAAACTTAGCCTTGTCTGGACCGGTTGTAGATTAATGTAGTAGTAATAAATACGGTTCACGATAGCAATTAAAGTGGTGCAAAAACGAAATATGTTCTACTAAAAATTACTCTGGATATGACTCACTCCCCTCTTATCTTGGTGCAGCCCTGTACCACTTGTCTATCATGGACACTTTGTAAATTTGAATAGGCAACCCAACTAAAACGAACCATATTTTGGAAAAACAATTAGATCTGCTTGGAATATCTGAACCCTTTGCTATTATTTGATATGATTTGATGAAAGTATTTGGAAAAAAAAATTATAGTGGTTAGCGTCATTCTTAGTCTTCTACCAACTATCCTCAAAGCATCTATGCAATGATTTGTTGTTTTTTTCCTTTTTTGGTTCTATTCCTCTTAAATGCGAACGCCTTAGTGAACCTTCGATTCCCTTTTAATTTTCATTTTTCTCCTATAATATCTGTAGTACTTAATAAGATATTATTCTTTGTTATTTATTGTTAGCGTTCTAGCATCAAACCACTCTAGGGCTCTAACAATAAATAACAAAGAATAATATCCTTAAAACCAGTCTGTACACCACACACCCCACAATTATGGCCATGCGTTTGTGA